TTGAACGGAATTCCTTGTGTCGCACATATTTATTATGATTGCAGACAAAAATATGCAGCTTTAAGAATTGTGTCTTGTGTATAATAGTAAATTAATAATGTAGATCATATAAATAATGCTGAATCATTATGATAGCTTGAATATTATATAATGTCTGTTGTTTAAATCATGTTTTCAATCTAAATAAAGAAAGTCGTTTTAATCATTATATTAAGTCTAATTTATTGTCTTGGATGACAAATTATGTAATCACACTTTATATATATTTCATTTTGAAACATCGAAAGTACTTTAATTATTGAAGATGTGATATTCTTGGTAATTCATATAAAAATAGAAAATGAATATTTATAAATAAATAATAAATAAATAGCTTCAAATTTTATTGAATTATATTTAAAAATTTTTTTTCATCGAGCATAATATTTATATAAAAAATCGAAATGTTTATTAATTAAGGTTCTTATTTTATATATTCTATAATGTAATATTTTATTTTATACTTACTATTATTACTTTGTACTTATTTTATATGTTAACTGCTTTATTACCATGCAGTAATTAATTATCGATAGATTTATTTAATTATTTCATAGAATTTAATTATACGTATGAAAGATCGCTATAAGAACAGAATCTATACAATTAACGATAAAAACTTTTTAACGTTAACTTAAATATACATAAACAGAAAATTTTAAAAAGTGGTTTTTTTTTAAATATTAACTGCAAATGGAGAAAAATTTCCATTTAAACCCTTAAAAATAATGCAACACTGTTGTACATAAATAATCTACTTAAATAACACATAAAAAATTACCATAGAAACAACAGTGGCTGTAAGAATGTAACGTTTCATCATGACAAAAAAAAAAAGCAAAAGAGCAAAAGCAAAAAGAAACATAGCTGCTATAAAGAAAACAAGCTCTGTTTTTATAGACCACACCATCAAAATTACGATATTCGATTTCGTCATTCTAATACCATATATCACTGGCTTTGATTGCCGTCGATAGATACATTATAAAACGCACTATGTGGTATACGCATAGTGCACTACCTTATCCAGCTGTATATATATATATATATATATATATATATATATATGTGCACACATCCACGTATATTTTTACTATGTACACGCGCGAGATCGAAATCTTTAATCATCAATCAAAGGTAGGGGTTTCGATCTACATTACTTACACAGCTACAGGTTTCCGGAGGAAACTTGAATGAAAAAGGGAATGTGTTTTTGCGTTAGCTGCAGATGCAAATTCATTTAAGTGAGATAAACTGTAAGCCTAACGATTTTTATTCAGAGTCTATAATAATAAATTAGAATTATTTACTATTATTCATTGAAAATATAGATATGTTTTATTCTTTATTTTTGTTTCTTTGCGATTGGATGTTTATTGCGTTTATTTTTATATGCGGTATATAACAGTTTATTTCAACAATTGTTCTATGGGAAATAATATTATTTATTTATCTTTTAATGATATTAACATAATTAATTAGGTTTATTCGTATTTAAAACTACTATGGACATGCATATTAAAGATGAGTAGGAATTATTATTTTTAATCTAAAATGCTAAAAATTTTGAAGGAATTATATTATCAGTAATATTTAATTTGAATCTGAATATTAAATTTTATCTTCTTAATTTATTTACTGACGTCTTTAAAACGTTAGTTTTTAAAATACATTGATTATGAATATGCGATTAATGTTTTTATTTTAGAAAACGAATTATAATAACATTGTAAATTAGTTATTCGATTATATCATTCTTTATCTTTCTTTATCTATATTGAATATAAATTGTTGAACTATATAGTAGCGGTTCACTCAGAAAAATGACTATGATTTATATTTATTGTATCTTAATATTACACTCAATTACATGAATTCATTTTCCACTCATTGATATTAAGGATGTATATCAAGCAAAATTTAGTTCTAGTTGTGAAAGAATATTAATTTATGATGTCGTCATATGAATTAACTACAAATACAAATAATCTATTGTATTAGTTTTTAGATTAGACTTCTTATAAAGTGCTATAGAAGCGACAATTTATAAATTAATGACAAGTAGGTATAATAAATTAATATAAATCGGTTAAATATCTAATACGGTATTATTATATTTAAAAATTAATCAATAAAATTATAATGGTATATTGCTTATCAATTGAAGTATTTAAACGAAAACTCAAAAATTACAAAAATTTTATACCGAAATTTATTGATGTTGCAAAAGTTATCTTTACTTTAATGTAGAAGATATATATGTTTTGTATTAGATATACGTTCGGTAGATAGTTTTCAATAGATTTAGTTCGAAATTCCTCTTAAATTAAGAGCGTAAAGGATTTCCGCTCCCTAGTGAATAAGAATAAGTTCATAAAGAAAAGGAATTCAAAGAAAAGGAATCCGAAAGCAAAATTTTATTTAATATAAAAGATTTTTTACCGATGTATTTTATTTTAACATAATAGGAGGGTAGTTTAATATCTTTTTTAGCAAGTAGTGAGTGCGTAGGTAAATCAAAGAGAAAATAAAAAAGTTCCGCCTAAGGTTTTATGAATATTTCGAATTCATTGAGTCATCAACATCATTGCTTTCGCGACTCTCCACTATTTTTACAATTTATTTAGCTAAGAACGGTCGAGAGAAACGGGAGAATGAGCTTTATCTCGAAATTATAAAAATTATTTTTTATCTGAATACGAGAGCATAAAACGATAATTAGACAAGTACGGTGCACGCGGTAGAGAGTAACCAAACAAACGCTATACCGACGTTTTCCTCGCCCACTCATCCACTCCTTCTTCCTCGGTGTTTTTTTTTGTCGCATTTGCCGCCGCTCGTTCGTCAGTGAAAAATCCCCCAGCAAGAAAGTATTTTATGTGAAATTATGATAGACTGTGGAGAGGCATTCGAAGATGAACAAGGTAAGCGAAAGCGAGAGAGAGACTGAGAGAGGGATGGAGGCGAGGAGGTAGGGAGAGAAAGAGAGAGAGAGAGAGAGAGAGAGAGAGAGAGAGAGAGAGAGACCTCAACCTTGTTTTTGCGGCTATGAAAGATAGAAACGCGCGCTCGTTTTGCGCGCGAGCGTCTGTAAGGTACGTGTGGATGAAATTTTTGCGGGAATGGGCAGAAAATTGTGCGGTGGTCGGGTGGATAATGCGACTTTCGAAGGAATAACAGTCAAACTCAATTACTCACAGGGATGCGGAGGTTGGCTGAGAATTTTTATGTACTAAGTTGTGCACTGGAGTAGCAAGGGATTTGTTTGGTCATTCCTACTTAAATGTTTCGCAAGTTATTTTACAGGTTTTTACGCAAAGTGTTACTTTTAATTATCCAAATAATTTTCAAGATTACGCAACTTATCCTAAATTCGATATTCCGTTTTATTTATGATTAAGGTTTTGTATTTATGATAGCAAACCATATTTGATATCTTTAATTTTTAAACAAATTTATATAAATTGAAAAGTTTTTAACGGTTAACAAAGTATTCCGTATTCAATACATAAATTATACATCAATTTCATAGTTAATTCAGCTCTGAGCTATTTCTTATATTTTTCATATTTATCGATGACAAAATTAACTGTAAACGCATTTTTAAACGAATGTTTGTACTCGAATCTGTTTAGAAGTCTATCATACGTTTTAAGTACTGACAAGTAAACTAATTTTACGTAAATTATTCTCTTACACTCTAATTATGAAATTATAAACTATTTTGTATTCAGATTACGAGAATATTTAATAAGTAATATTTAATTTATCGTATTCATTAATAACTTAAAGTTCAGAAATTAAAAAAATAATTTAAAATAAGAGAAGACAATTTAAATTCATCACTTTAAAATGCAAAGCTTTTTTATCAGAATATGATTGGTAATATATTTATTAATTACTTAGTTAATTACATTAGAACATAAAACGATCTACATTTAATACATTCTTATGGTAATAGAAACATAAAATTTTAATATTATCTAATGTAATACATACATAAAGAAACTATAAAAATTGTACAATATTTTATTTTAACGGTTAATACGCCTTTGCCGTTATAAAGTCATAAGTTCCTTTGTGAAAAAAAATAATAATAATAAAAGGAAAGATTAACCACCAAACGTAGATTCGTTTAATTATTAAAAAAAAAGTTTCTTGTCAAATAGTTATATAATTTAAATGTGTTTAATACCATTACGTCAGTGAATTGTGATATTTCGAAAGTTCTATCAGAGTATTTACTTTTCGAAAAATCACAAATGATTACTCCAAAAGCATTTGTAAATTTGTCAATTATCATTGATTAATGAAATTTCTTTTAAGCTTTTATATCGTAATATAAATCAAAAATATATATAGAAAATAAAAGTATCCGTAAATTATTTACGAATTGTATTCGGTTTAAGTTTTCAAACATTAAATATGCTTGAATAATAATCGATGAACTTCATAATTGCGATAAATATGGTAATTATGTATTTAGTTATATATAAATAGATAAATCATTTAACATGTCCCCGTCTGTAAAGATCTATGTTAGAGAGGAGCAGTATTTTGTTTACAAGTTTTTTTTAAATTACAAGTAAAATTATTTACATACACTGACCGATAACGTATAATTTTTAATAGCTTTATAAATTTCAAGTTAAGAATCTATTAAACTAAGGTTTATAATGTATCAAACGCGTGTTGTTTTTAAATCATCGTTTTTCAAGCTTACATAAAGCTTTCGATGGTAAGAAAAAAGTGTCAAAGCGAGCATGTATTGGATACAAAGGGACGGGGATTGTGCGTTTGAAGCACAAATCACAAGAAGATTAACTCCAAAGGTGCTTGTAGGGGCGCAGAAGTCGACACGCTTACAAATGCTGTCGGAGCGAATCATTTCTAACGACTTTCATGACATTTCGTTCCATAACGAATCTACTCGGGGATAATCCATGGGATCGAGCACTCACCATATATATCAGATCAGCATCGCCGCACTCCGCGCTTAATGAAGAATGTAAAAACAAGAAGAACTAGATGTGAAGATATATATATATATATATATATATATATACAGAGAGAGAGAGAGAGAGAGAGAGAGAGAAAGAGAGCGAGAGCACCAAGTAGCCTTGTTGAAAACAAAAGATGAACCAACAGCCGACACAAGTAAAGCACTATAACACGTAGGCACTGTCAAGTTCACACCGGTGCACCAAAGTCACGCCTCATGGCAATGACGCCCGGGAATGAAAGAACGGGGTAAACGCGCTGACGTTCGTCACATCTTGCGATGCGTACACCTCGCGTCTCGCGTTCTCAGCGTTGCGGGCCGTGAATGAATGCGCCGGAGCTCGACTGGAGTGCCCCCGGCTCGGGTCGACACTTTGTTGCCGAGGAGCGGAGGAGCCGATGTGGGAGCGACGGCCAATGGAACGCCAAGTGTTGATCGAACCTGGCCAATGGGGAGCCGAGCCGCGGACACGCCGGTTTCGAACTCCCGGGCGCTTGGTCTTTGCCGCGCGCGTGAAATCTTTTTGGTCAGTGCTGGTCAATTGCTTCTCAATGCCGAACTAATTTTCATTTTTAATATCTCGGCGGTCTTTTACATAAAACTGCGTTGCCTCGTTCGCCATCTACAAATACGTTGCATTAGGCCTTTATCTTAAAGGGACTATTAGATCGTTACTTTTACGTCGAAGTGACTCTTATTTTCTAAACTAATATATCTATAATATTTTTTAAACGTATTTCCAAATAGGTTTTGTTCAATTTCCCTGCCCATTGGATACACTATAACCAGGACAATGAAATTCAAGCAAAAATTAATAATTAGCCCGTTTAATGTTAATTCTTTGTAATTGGTTAATACACGTCCATATAGATTGGTAGTTGTGTGTGCGTAGTATGTGTGCGCGCGCGCGCGCGCGCGCGCGTGTGTGTGTGTAAAATTGTAGTATGTGCAATAATGATTGATGAAATTGATCGAATTCATATCTTTCATAATGTCGTATAAAAGATTATAGAAAATAACAAAATTATTTTTGAAAACAAATAATGTATTTTGAACTGGTATTTCAAATTTACTAATTTAATAAATTAAATTTTTTTATTTATTTTCTTTCGATATACAAATTCTGTCTACCGAATTTACATCTTTTGCAATAGATGAAAACTTCACGTTATTTGGTGCATTACATTATGATTATTTTCAATCCATAATTAAGAAATTGTCTATGCGATGGAAATACAAAATTTTTAAATCAATAATAATATTGATTCTTTACATTCGTATGTATTTATTTATGTGAACATTTAGGTTTTACATAAATATACTTAAAAGCTTTTGCAGGACTTTTGGAGGTTTTACATCCAAAACAATTCGCCAATCATTATTTCGATTTGCTTTTATTTACCAAAATATTTAACTGATGTTTTTCATGTTTTAATACCTTTTCTAAATTAAAGTTAACTTATAATGTAATAATAATGTACAGAAGTAGGTTTTATAATATTTAAAAAGAATTGAAAAAAGCATTTGATTTTACTAATAAAATGAAACGTCGTATATTCGAAGACAAATTACTTGTAATCTAAAGATATAGATGTTAATATTTGTACGGTAGTTCGACTGAATTAACTTCGAAACTTCATATTTTATTTACACTTAGGATATTTCAACATGATTTAAATTAACAATTTTGATTATTACAATAGTAATATAGCACAATTCACATAAAAAAATTATGAATATTATACTTATAAATATATCATGGTATTATTCGGAGAATAAAAGTATCTTTAAATCGATAAAAATATGTAAAAACAAAGGACTATACCATAAAGGCGAGGATAATAATTAATTACAAAACTTTAACAGAAGTAAATTTAGTATTCGTTTAATAAATAATTACTGATAATAATGTTCGTAATAGTTTATATATATTAAAATAATAAATTTAAATTTATTTAAATTTAATTAATATAAATTTATCCGTTGGTAATATAAATTTATATCATATAATATACCAAATTTTAGCCGTTAATAAAATGTTATTAATACAGATATATCTGTATATACATTTAATTACATATTAACATAATGATTTTATCTTTCAAAAGAATAATATTGTTCTCAAGTATATTTGAGAACATGTAGATTTATAATACACTGTTTTGTAATATAAGATTTTGTTACTATAGAAATAATTCTCTGTTAAAAGTATAATTAGCTTTTAATTGAAAGATTACTCGCTATCTTTAGAGAAATATTTTTGTGTTCAAGTAGAAGTCTATTTTCAACAGATTTGATAAGCATTGTTTTGAAACAATAGTATTATTGTCATTAAAATATGCGTTTCTTAAGGCACAAGCTTATATGTGGATTTAATTCACAATTATTCGAGTAAATATTTCTCTATGAATTATGTAAAAGTAGTGTATTACACAAATTTTGCTTGATTACATTCAATTATATTCATTTCGTAAACTTATTCCAATCTTGATAGAAGAAGAACAATCACTTTTTGTAACATCTCTAGACTTTTGAAATCGTTTTTAAAATTAAAAATATTTTTATTATTATACACAATACAATGAATATTATAATATTATAATGAATTTAATAATATGCAAATCTATTTGAATTTATTTTTAGCTTTATTTTTTACTCAAATTGCATATACAAATATTGTGTTCAACATGTATGATCCAAATATTATTCAAGATCATTCAAATAAAAAATCTTATAAATATTTATTAATTTATTGATTTGGAAATTTCTAGAAATTTAAAACGCCAAATACCTATATTATATTATAATAATGAATTATATATAAATCGCATTCTTGCATAGCTTTACAAAATACAAATTAGATTTATAAAATGTTTTATTTCTGAAAATATGAATTAGCAATTTTCTTCTTCAAGTATTCAATAACACGAGTATTCTTAATAACCTTGTTTCATATATATAGTAATAGAATTCCTTAAAAAAGTTTATTTTAATACTTTATTATAATTGTATTTTTTTGTAACTATAATTTAAATTATCATACTTGGCACAATATACATTTTCTCATAGAATATTCTTTTAAGATTTTTAGATTTTTATTTTTATACGTTACTATATTATATGAAAACGAAACAAAAATTTTACAATGTTTTAAAGATATTAAGTTGGTCAACAACTCCATAACGTTTTACAAAAAATTTAGAGACAGTCAGTTAAAAATACATACCTTATATAATTACATAAGCACTTAATAAAGTTACTTCAACTACTGAAGGATAAAAATTGTATTAATAAATGTAAATCATATTTAGTATGAGTTAAGTACAATTTAACATTGTAGCTTATTTATTAATTATTTAAATAATATTGCACCGAGTTTTATATAAGATTTGTTCATCATAAAATGTCGTCATCGTCAGATTATATTGTAGATGTACAAATAACGTATAAATATATATTATGATTAAGTATTATTTATTGAAAATCTTATATTAAAAAACATACATAAATATTCATAAGTATGTACAATAATTATAATAATGTGTAGATTAAATTATAATTATATCAATATTAATGCATTTATAAATGCTTAATTATTATAAGTTCATTGCGTCCTTTCTCTAGATACACTAACGTTGAAATCTTTTTAGAAATGTTAATTTAATCATAATTCTTACATTACTTAAATTTTGTGCAGTATATGTATATTGTAAGTGAAATAATTATTTGTAATAATTTTATATTAGTATGAAAAAGTTGTATATTCTATAAATTCATTTTTTATGTTTGCCCCGTCATCAGTTTTAAATTTGAAGATTTTCAAATGCATGACTCTATGCTCTTGACGTTTAATTTCATTTTCAGCTAAATAAAAAAATACAAGATTTTATTTCAAATACCATTATTTTTTATACAAAATTAATAACAAACGTAAGAGTAAATTAATGGTTTCTACACTTACGTTTGTATTTCTTATCCGTGCGCATATAAACTTTTCTCGTTCAAACTCATAAGCTCTTTCTTATCTGTTGCGGTCTGGTTAACAAAGAATTTACAACAACTTAATTCTACGCTATCAATCTAAGTTACCTCGATCAGGACATCCTATAACTTATAGTTTAAGTTATGCACGTTGCACGATTTTGATCTTGTTATTATTAATCGTTATTAATTATTATTATTATTGCTTAAATATAGTTATTTTAAACTTTGTGATAAATTTTTATGTATTTCCTTTAAAATGTTTACATTCATCATAGATGTATCTAAGTATTATGGTACTTTCGCTATTATACTAAAATGCACATGGTTTATTATAAGAAGACAATAATTAGGTTTAAGATCTTCAGTTTTTGAATATTAATTAGTATTTCGCCTAAATTGTAGGAATAGTATTTAAATATAAATTATGTATAGGGAGTTAATGTTCAAAATATTAAATTTAAAATTCAAAAATTTGAAAATGCAAGATTCGAAAGCAAGTAAAGTGTTCTAACTTATTGGGTCATTACCTCATTACCTTTTAAAACGAGATTCTAAGAAATATTTATATAATTTTCTTTTAAAATATAAAAGCAATCTATCAATTATATGGAAATTTTTCCTCCTTTCAACTAAATACTCAATCTGAATAAATTAAATAAATTTGTTATACTTTAGATGTATTAAATATTTATTCTCATATAATTTCTTCATAATTTAATTTTAAATTATAATTTTGCAATTTTAACTAATTAGAATATTTATATTTTAAATAATTTAAATATTTTAGATTTTATTTTTGTAATATTTTTGTTAAAACGTGGTTTGGTCGGTATTTTTTTGATGATTATATCAAATTAATTTCCATGATTATGAACATTTCCAAATATTTATAATTTACAATTTTATTTAAAATTTCTTTTCATTAATATTAGAGATATACTTTGCTTATTATGTTATAAAATGTGTTTAAACTCATTTCGTGTGTTAAACTTATATCGTCGACTGTATATTTATTATTGAAAACATAAAAAAAAAAAAAATTTCAAAAGATTTGTTTTCTAACTTTTAAAATAATAATTATATTTTGTTATAAGCGTGATAGTTTTATTTAAAAAATCTATTAATATGTAAATTCAATGATAATCTTAACAATATTAATTAAATATTATTGGAAACTAACGAATTCAAAGGTATATATAAAATTTGTTAATAATTGCAATTTTCAAATACTTGTTCAGATCAGATGGATATATATATATATATATATATACTATTTTTAAATATTTGTGTTTTAGATTTAAGCTCCTGTTGCCATAATAAAATCCTTCATTTTAACATATATTCATATTCGAGATTATTATAAGAGATATTAATGAATAATATTAAGGATATCAACGAATAAGACAAGCGATAAGCACAGGCAAATTTAATTGGAAAATGTTTAAGTTCGTTACCATGGGAAGCTTAGCGGTTCCATCTATTTGAAAACTCGAAAATGGTAACGATTTTCTTTATTATCGATCAACGGATAGTACGAATGCTCCGCTTTACCACAGGTTATGTCCAATTCTTTCATAATTCCCAAGTACGAAGCGGAAACGGGAATTTTAATCTGGAGTACAGTGTAATTTGTTCAATATACAGTCACTACTAAATATCATAATTAATTTGTAGTTGAGTTATGCCTGCGGCCAGTTTTTGGAGCAAGTAAGCTTTTCAAAATATTATATTTAGAAGTACGAGTTTTTAATTTTCTCCTTAAAGCAGCTTTTGCTTTGTTAGGCATTATTCTACATTATAGCTATGTTATTTATAGCATAGGCCTTTATCATTTGTATATTTATATCATTGTAAAGCGAAAGAATTTTTGCCCATAGAATTATAGCATGAAAATATGAAATTAATGTATATAAATTAAATTTAAGCTATATATTATTTATTTATAAGTTATGTATATATATATATTTAATTGTGTCACAATAATCTGTTTGTTCAGTATGTGAAATTATTAAATTAATTTAATCTTTTATTAAAAATTATATGTGTAAAAGATATTTCATTTATGATTCATTACAGGCATCAAAATGGCTGGAGGAGAAAATCAATTGCCATATCTACTAACTGGCTGTATTTTTTATGCATTTGGTATTAAGTGGTGTTGTGAATATGCAAAATTATGGTACGTCAATCCAAAGTCTCGTCAACACCGTGATAATCCAAAGTTGGGAGCAATGCTTAGATTTCGTAAAACATGCCTGAAGATGCTGCATAGTCATCCTATTGAAGGAAGTCTAAAATTAATTGCTACTGCCATTGGTTTAGCTGGAACATTAACTGGTGGCTTACCAAACTCTGGAATTGTTTCGCCCAAAGTTGTGCATGCTACTATTTATCTATTCTTTGCTTTTTCTGGGCTCGTAGATGTTCTTCATTTTTATTTTCCTCACAATATTAGTAATGGTTTATCAAAAATGGCTTTAGCACAGAGTTTTTTTATCGAGGGATTTTTATTTGTGTGGGCTAGCGTTAGTGAAAGTCCTGTGGTTAATATGATTCTGGCAGCAACTGTATGGCTAACAAGCATAGCTGTAACATTAGAATTGGTTTGGCCAGAAGTAAAATTATTGAGAGGAGCTACAACGTTATTGCATGGAGGATGGATCGCGCATATGGTCAGAGTATTTCGTAACGAACCTTTAACTTTAGAAAAAATAGCTTTGGCATTTTCCTGGCACATAGCTGGAGCTTCAACTGTTACACTTCTTGTTGTAGCAATAACCCGAAGCTGCTTGCCTCGTGAGCCTCCTCCACCACCAGAAGTTCCAATCTATGATTATTGCAATGAATTGGAAATTCGTTCTACCTAAAGAGATTTAATAAAATTTTTCTTATTTTAAAAATTTTATATTCGATAATATTAACCATGTTCTTTAATATAGAATTTAGCGAGTTTTCCTATTGCCAAATAACACATGAATTTTTATAAATAATTTAAAATTTGTATCGATTATTAAGGACGTATACTTTATATGCACTCATTAAATTTGGAGTTTAAAATTTCAAAGAAATTAATTTCATAGCATTTTAAAAAATATTGTTGGTAATAGTTTGCGAAACAAATAATTTTAATTAACTATATAATTTATTAATATAGTACAATCACAACGATAATGTACAACGAGGCTCGATATTTATATAAGATTTTTATGTAACTAAGTGATATTTAAACAATTTTCTGTAATTTTAAGTTATGGTATTTATTTGAATAGTTGTTATTCAAACATGGAATATTTTTTATTTTTATATAGAAATAATAATTATCGAAGGATTATATTATCTTAATAATTTTAATTTAATGATAATTTAAATTCAGATAATTATATAAACTTACCAATAAAAATAATTATTCAAATAAATTCTAAAGAGTGCCACTCTAGTAAATAGTGGATGAATTTGTAAAAATCTTTAATAGGAGATTTAACAAATTTAATTTCATATTAACATTGTACACATTAAATTTTATTTTTTAACATTAAATGTTGAAGATAGAAACGATATTGAGCATTCCAAAAAAATGTTATAATGTATTTAAGAAGAACTAATATCGAATTTCAATCATTATAATATTTAAAACTCAAATTAATGTGAATTTTATTTTATTATTAATTTCATATAATACTTATGATTGCAAGTATTGATTTGAATTATTTAAAATAAAATAATCAATTTAGCACATATTCCACATAGAAAATTAAATTAAATGCAATTTTTAAAAAAACAGGGACTCGTAAGAAATTTAATGAACACACAAACACGGGAAAACAATTTATTTAATTATGTCATTTAAAAATGAATTTTTTATATAGACTTTAATGTACTTTCTGTTTTACGTTTAATAATTAACAAAAAAATTATTGTTATATTTTAGTTGCAATTAATTTACACTGTTATTTTAAATAATAATATGAATTGGTATAGTATATTTTTAATCTAATGTCCGTACTACTTATATGTGTGTAAAGTCTTTATTAGTATTAGAATAGTTGTAAAAAATAATTATTAGTGATTATAAATATTTTAATCTTTAGTTTTTTTATAAAAAGCATCATATAGAAAAGTTTTTCTACAGCGACCAAATCTAATCTTGTTATTGAGTTTCATAAATATTAATTATCTATCAAAAACAATATCAAGAGTTGTTAAATCACAAGTAAATATCAAACTTGTGTAAATTACATAAATATGTGATCTTATGCCTTAATAGGGCAATGTTTTTTTATCAACCACCGTCAGTGCCTGAAATATTATTTGTATTTATAACAAATTTTTAGCATTAGTTTTAATGAATATTTTTTTCTTTAGAACAAAAAAAACATCGAAATTGTCACTGACGCATTTTGGGATACACCAGTGCCAAACATTTTATACAACACTTGTTTTAAGACTGTTTTATCACTATACATTTTATAATATTACTAATGTTAATGAAAGCTGAGCAGCCATACTATATCAACAATTGTGATTTTTAAACATATATTATGCAGTTACATCGACAATTACTATTTATAAATTATTGTATTATTACTATTATAACTATTATTATTATGTAAACAAATAAATTATAAAAAAAAATACAAATATTTAGTTTTTAATATGAATTGTGATGAATAACGACGTATTTATATGATGTTTTTACATAATCGTATACATAGTAAAACAATGAAGTATTTACATTTTATAGGTTGTAATAAAGTATAAATAAAAAAATTATATTTTATTTTTAAATCATTTTTCATAAAACCTATAAAACTCGTTTGATTGCGTTTCTGTACACTCGTGTGACATATGTACGCATTTGTTTGTGTGTGCGTACACGCAAAAAGTTTTTTCAGTGGCTAAACTTCTTAGCCTTAGATACTTGATAATAAAAAGAATTAAATATTTATTGTAATCATGATAATGCAGGTTTTTTTAATGATATTTTTGAAAGAAATAAGGGCAATGTATCAAGTACGTATTTTAAATTTTCAATCTACCAAATTATCACATGAAAAGCATTGAAATATATATATATATATACATATATAAATAGAGTTTTAAGAATTAAGAATTCATTCTTAAAAATAAAAAAATATTAAAGTCATTTAATATCTCCTTCTCGTTTCTTATGTTTTCCACAAAGTCAGTCGAATACATAACTGAAAAGGCTGAAAATGCCAGCGAGCCATCGCCTACCACATCAGTCGCTAATGCCATATTATTCTTGATTTCGTAATTTGCCGCCAGAGCGTATACGCGGCCAAAATCGCCCGAGTTTCTTCATTTTCCCTATTTAATTTCACTCACAATACGAATGCGCCTGCGAGCCTGCATACAGTCGCATATGCATGCTTTGCTTCTTTTTCTTCCCCGCACGCGCACGCATAACTCATTAGAAGTGAATAGCCGTATAGCGCATCATATACTCTCTCGTTGTCGTCATATATAGGAGAAACGGCGCTGGAGGAAAGCCGAAACGAAAAGGGGCGCAAGAAGGAGAACGGCCCAGCCCCTTCAGGCTGCAGTACATGTCATGAAATTTGTTTGCGGCGCGTGATGTGTCATTTCCTGCGTGCACCTGAACGTCATCGGTGAATCTTTGCGTTCAGCTTTTCTTTTCGCCTTAGACACGGGAGACAATAAGACCTTCGGAGGATCGGCTGCACGGGTAACGTTCAGCGAAAATGGTGAGCATTACCGCCGAGATTCCCTAGTTCCTATTGAGGAGGCGGTGTGTGAGAATATAGGTTATGAATTGGATGACTTCAACGTCAAAAGCTAAATTATTTCAAATACTTGCGGATCATTGTCTTTTTATTTACTTATTCTTGTTTTACGATATGATGGCTCCGCCGAATGTCTTCAATCTACAATTTTGCAATGTCTTTTATCGATTGCCTTTGAAATTATTGTATTGGATGTACGTTCTTCTGGGTCTGGTCAAAGAGTTGTCTCCCTAAATCAAATTTTATAAAATGGAAATATTAAATCGTGATTTTTTGAATCCATAAAAGCAAGTATTATGAGCATGATAGTGTCTTGACATTTTACATTATTATAAGTTTTACGAATGACTTTTTAATGGTGAATTTTTTAATTTAATTTAATATTTTTTTTTTAATTTTTAATTTTTAATTTTTTTTTTAATGGCGAATAAAGAATATTTTATATAGTTTTAATCATTATATATTGATTATTATATAAAGTGTATTTCTTTTATATTGCTGAAAATTTAGATCTTGATGGAAACAATATTTTACTTATATGAAATAATATTTATGTATTATTTAACTAAAGCTAAATATTTGTTTTCTGAATTGCTAATGATTATTGCTCTCTTTATTTCAGTCAAGTTCGTTGAAGCCTTATCTCACAGCGGTGAGACGTACGTTGACTGCTGCCATGTGTCTTGAAAATTTTTCATCTCAAATTGTTGAAAAACACAACAAGCCAGAAGTAGAAGTACGTGCTAGTAGGGAATTACTTCTCACACCAATATTAATTAGTAGGAATGCCAATGAGAAAATTTTGATCGAGTCTAGTATAAATAGTATGAGAATAAGTATAGCTGTAAAGCAAGTGGATGATCTAGAAAGAATTTTGTGTCATAAATTTACAAGATTTATGACTATGCGTGCAGAAAATTTCATGATTTTAAGGAGAAAACCCATAACGGTATGAATTATTTTTTCATATAATTTAAAAGTTTATAAATTTATATTAAAATAAATTGTAAATAAATTTAGTCATAAAGATATTGTAGACTTTAACACTTGATTACACATACAAATGCAGTTTTATAATAATTAATAATAATTATCCTTTACGCAAATATTTGTATAAATTTTATATAGAGAATAAACAACATAATAATTGAAGAACAAATGCTTGTAAAGCATTCAAATTATATCATTCAAATATCTGCCAAGTTTAGAATAAAAAATTTATTAATTTATTTAATGAAATAACAGTATTATACAATGATATACAGTGAATTATATTCTTGGAATTATCATACTATTAATTTCATTCTACTTTGTTCCAATAATACTTTGAGACTTAATTATATTTACCAGTATTTAAAACATTAATTAATAAAATTTGACGTAGTTAAACATGTTTAAGTAACACGTATAGTAATTTTTAGAGATTGCACTTACGCATGCTGTAAACATGTTGGATAATATTTTATATTATTTTTATTTACTTAATGACTAGTTAGTCATTCAAATAGTAAAAATTAACAAAATGGAATATTCATGTTTTGTTTTCACAGAAATTTTTTTTAATCAAAAATAGTATCGTATTAGCTTTATATCCTATTTCTAAGAGCATAATTTATGTTATTTACATTAATGTTATAAAGTACAAAGTACATTATTGTAACAGCATAAATTTAATTAGTTTAATTAGAAATTAAAAATTTTTATTTTAAACATTAATACTTACTGTCTTATTTTTTTAATCTGACATTTTGATTTTATGGAAAACTTTTTTAACATTATTTTTAATGTTGAGAAATATTTAAAGAGGTAGATTGGCTAATATTTTACAATAATTTTAAGGAAATTTTCTCTATCAGAAACATATTAGAGCCTTTATACATTTACTTATCCTACACTTTTAATTAAGTAAAATGTTTATAATTAATTTAATACTTTGTTATAGGGTTATGATATTAGCTTTTTAATTACAAACATTCACACAGAACAAATGTACAAACATAAAATTGTAGACTTTGTTATTCATTTTATGGAGGAAATTGATAGAGAAATCAGTGAAATGAAGCTTTCAATGAACGCTAGAGCTCGTACATGTGCTGAAGAATTTTTAAAGAGGGTGAGTTATATTAAATGAAATCGCAATATACATTTCTAAATCCTATATCGATTAATTTAAATCATTTTTATAGTTCTAGTCCGAAGCTCTTCAATATTGAGGTTCAAAGAAATAAGAATGCAATTATAACATGGATGTATTCTGTTAAGAAAACCACCTATCGTCTGTTATCTATCTCTGGTTTCATGCATTCTGGAGTAGTACCAAACTTTACCTTGTTATCGCTGTTGGTAGTGCAACATAAGAGTGGAGATAATGTATTAAAGGATAAAAAGATATGAATTGCGGGTGCTGTAATGTCTGTTTCACAAATACAAGCACAAGGAAGTATAAACATGTATGAATGGAAATTTTTTTTATAAGTGTGTAATAATTTTAAGTGAATGATGGGTTTTGATCAAAGTTTTGCTTTACCGACACTTTTATTGTTGCATTTTTCTTAAATAATTATTATGTGAGTAAACTTGCAATCAGCTTCCGTTTTTAAAACACAACAATTTTGGGAAAAATTTGTTTTGTTTTAAAAATTCCAATGAATAATAAATATTATTTATAATTAAAATATTATAATTTCCATAGAATTATCATTATTTAATTCATATTCAAAGATTATTTTATCAGTAAACTTGGGTACTGATTGTTTAAAATATCTTTAGCAAGTTGAAAAAATAACAGCGAAAACAATTGTTTGAAGGTCAATTTTAAGATTGGCTGTCCACTGGTCACAAAAATTAAAGGCTCTGTGTTAAGCAAAAAAGGCATTTTTGTTTAGAGAAATATATCACTCTATTTAGACTCGAATCATTTTTTAATTGAGTCGCAATATTATTTTAAGAAACGCGAATATTTTGACTGAGATTGGCATTTCTCATAATGCATAGCTTTTTTAGTATTTACAAATATGATTTTACACAAGCTTTAGAAGTTTTTCGAATCAGATATAAATTTGGATGGAAAATATTTTCGAATTATATACATTGTCAGAAATCAATTAAATCAGTTTCATTAATTTTATTAAAACCGGATAGTAATGAAATGACATTTATAACAAAGTGAATTTAATATAAAATAGTATTCCAATGTAAAAATAAGTATATTTTCTCCAAAATAATAATTTACGTCATTATTAAAAACAAAAATTATGTTATCATGTTTAAGATTATTATACGCTCATATGTGCGTAACGTAAATGCATGAAAAAGAAGGTGAAGTGAGAATAAGTTGTATTAAAGGTTATTACGTATATTAAGAAACTCAAGTAAGTTGTACGATAATAAAATTATGCTGAGTGGGTCAGTGAAAAAATACTACTAATTAAAATAACGTCCACACATGTTCATTAAAAAAAAAAAAAATTAAAATAAAAAAATTAAAAAAAAATAACAAAAAATTATGATGTGTACGTCGAGTTCAACGACTGCCAATTATACATTGCGTACGTGTGCATTGCTTACATGCGTAAATATATGCATATGCATATGTATATATATATATATATATATATATTAACTTGTTCTTCGTAACGGATAACAACGTACGGAATATCTAATGAGCTTGAGAGAATCCTGTTGTATACCGTGATTTGTAACTCGTGCGAGGTACATTTACAATTTACTTTTACCATCTTATACCTTATATTTATAATAAAATCTCGCTCGAACATCTGAAAATACGATCAGATCAATTTTTTTTTTTTATTTGATCCTTAAAAATATCCATAATTATTAAATCCATCAATACCTTATATTAATATATTTACAGCGAATATTTACCTCAGTTTTAAAACATCATATTATAAACTATTTTCTAAATAGATTCTAAAGAGATAAAATTAGTAAACTGGTATTATAATTTTTAATTTAAAGGTTGTTTTAAAACTTTATAATTTATATTAAATACATTTGTGCATCAATAATTATACATATTTTCTTATTTAATATAAATTATTTAGATAATATTTAGTAACTGTGTTAGTTATTAATGTAATATTATTAATTTATATTACTAATGTAATATTAATACTTATTTTAGATGTGTATAATAAAATATACATTACTTTAGATATATATTTTATTAAATGTTTGAAAATAAGATTTACATATACAAATCTTTATTTTTATAATGATTGTATTAATTTTTCTTATTTAAAATTTTATTTGTGTTTGATATAATATATTATTGTAAACATTGTTGTTTTGTTCATTTCTTTAAAGGAAAAAAAAGGTTTACTATTTATTATTCATATATAAACCAATTATTCAAATTAAGATTCTATATGGCTACTACGTATTTATCCATAATATACGTAAAATATGTGTTTGCGTAAACACACATGACATACACAGATCTCAAAGAATAAAAAATCTAATTTTGTAATTGATTAAATATTTATTAGAATGATAATTATGTATGTAAATATAACGTTTATGATAGTTGTTTAATTATGCTAAACAGTGTGTAATTTTCATTTGATTATCAAACATTCGACATTTGGTTTATCAATAAAATATATTATGAAAGATTAATTGGTAAAATTAAGGAATTTCAATTTAGAAGAAAGAGTAAGATTATCAAGAAGATTTAATTTAAGGTAAATTTATAATACATATTTTTATAAGTTATAGTATATTGACTTCAAGTATATTATTATCGTTTTTATTATTTTATTTTATTTTATTATCGATTTACAATTTTGCATTTAGTTCTTTCTATTTGAAAATGTATTTTAATGTAAAATCAATTAATTTGATCTTTTATAATTAAGAGAATACAAATTTAAAATTTCCAAAACGTTGTTTATTTAATACAATTGAATGAGTGTTTGGTTCGATTTTTAATATTTTATGCAGTTTTTTTATAGAATAAGTTGCATGCCAATGGATTAAAATATAAAATAAGTAAAGAAGTTATTTATTTGTTATTTGTAAATTATCAACTTTTTATTTCTTTAAAGTTCAATTCATCTTTGATTACCTTTGCAAATTGGTTTTCAAGTGGTTTTTAAATTAAATTTTTTAATAATAATTCTGAATAGACTTTTTGGAATTGCAAATGATTTATAAAGTTGAATTGAACGTATTCTTTATTTAATAAATCTTATACTATGCATTTGTTATACAGAGTAAATTTAATATTTTATATTTCAACTCTATATATATATATATATATATATATATATATATATATATATATATATATGTAACAAATATATAAATATTATATTAAACAGTGAAAGTATAACTTTTCTTATCAGCTTATATGTTTTATACATCTTCGTAATTTTTACTTCGATAGGTCCATAACTAGATAGAGTTAAAATTTAGAAATTATAGTATACGGAAAATTCGTAGGATTCATTTGACTCTATTCTGTCATACGTACAAGAAGAAATTTCGACATTGTGAGGTCTAGGAGATCAACCCATTTCTCCTCGCACCTGAAATTAAAGGAACGACATTCTAAAAAAAGGCGTTTGCTTAGCAGTTGATGGAATGCATTTGTTCACTCGTCTCTGAATTTAGCAGTCACTTTCGTAGTGGAATCGAATAAGTGCAACGCAAAACATTTTATTTTGCACGATCTTCGGTATCCGTCATTGTCAGGCGTGTCACGCGCATCCGCGCGAACTGACTTGCGATGAGAAGGCGCGGGAAGAAGTTTAGGAATTTCGCAAGTGTCAATTCGTTTCAGTAAACTGGATTCTCTGGGTAACGCGATAATGTGGCAAGTCGATGATCTTAACATTAATTGATGGAAACACAAGTTCGATCGATATTTTTCCTATTTACATGATACTTATGTAGCCGCATTGAGGCCTGCACTATCTAGTCCTTCAATCGCAAACACAATAGTTGATATCGATGACAAATCAATGATTGATCGATGCTCTTTGTTTAAAAAAATTTTCAAATTCTATTGGTCAAGCAAAATGTAAGTGAGAAAAACAGGTGAAGCATTTTATATTGCAGAGAGATTTTAACGATGATTTATTAATGCATCGAAATCATTAAATTTCATTCAATTAAATTTTACAACTCGTAATTTTAGGTTTTAGGGATAGTTTATATTAAAAATAAATTATGTTTTCATCTATAATTGTGGTTCATGTAAACACACTGTTTTATTTATTTTGAAATCTTGATACGTTTATGTGGGCGTTGAAGGTTTATTTTGAGGTTGAAATAATAAAATCATTATGTATCTGTCACTGCTATAGATCTAAATACCTACAAAATTTAATCTACGATTAAAAATTTTACATTTAAAACATGTTTTAAATTTTTCAGTATATAAAGAATTTTTGTAACTATTTTACTCTGTCCAACTGGCTACATTCTATCATAAATTAATTATTTTTAAATTAGTGTATTTACTAATTACTTGTAACTAAGTTTTGCATGTCAGTAAAAGTATTTATAATAAATTTATAAAGTAGAATGGTTATATAAATTTATTATCATGAAGTTTTTTTAATATTTCCTATCGGATCACGAAAGCAAAATTTATATTTAGATATGTATGCTTAATTTAGTTATTTCATTTGTTATTTAATTAATTATTAATGTTATTTAATTTATTTATTTCATTTAGTTCATTTGAACTGTTAATAATTTTATTAGTAATTAAAGCTAATTAGTCTGAAGGTATTTTTTAATAATTGCAATGACTATTAAGGCACTATTAAGTTCGAAATATTAAGATTCTTACGAATTCGTTTATCTCGTATTATAAGGCAAGTATAAACTAATTTGTTGATTTCTTCGTAATATCATATAATATATTATTAGACTTGTGAAATATTTCTTCTCGTGCATATGACGTATACAACAACTGGATGATCCAATGAATTGAATAAAATAGTAACATATATAACTGTACAGTATAAAAGGACGGTCGATGAAGCTGGCTTTGGTGGATATAATTTCTACAGAATTCCAGTAAAATTCAAGGTACGTATGCAAGATGTTTTATCTCCTCTTTCACAGACATCCGCGAACAAGCGACCCCTTGAGATTAGAGTCCTCCTTCCTGCCACCCTACTTACTCGTTCTCTTTCTCTCTTTCTTGCTGTTTTGGTTTGGGCTATCAATTTTCTTCCCCCTCTTGCTTTTTCTAATGTACATGCATTCGAGTAAAACACGTGTAACTACATAATCCTTTCCTTGGCGTTTTTAAAGGTGTATGCTTTTTAGTATCTTTTCAAAAAGTAGGAAAAGCAGCATAACAAGTAATAAGAAAGATGGAAAAATGGGGAGGATAGATCCAGCAAATAAGGGTGTATAAATTCGATGCTCTTAAAATTTTTGCTTCGAATGTTGAAAAGTACATTACCACTTATTGATTTAACATTATTGTATGTATTAATTATATAACATTAATAGAATCGTACTTCCATTTTATACTAAGTAACATACAAGTAGCATACACATTTTTTAATAGTTATAATAGTTACAAATAAGATCTACATAAGGTTAATTGATAATTAGTTATACAATTCAATTAATACAATGATTTTTTTTTACTCTATTAAAGTAAATATTTAATTTTTCTTGCTTAAATAATCAAATTCTTTTATTAAGATTAATTTTTTTTCTAATATTTTATATAAAAGCGAAGATGTGTTAAAAGCATTACGAGCTAAATTTGCATTTGCTTCTTCATTATGTTCTTTTTTCATAAAGAACTCACCATTTGAAAAAATCATCGTTTAATCGAAATGCGTTTCATACGTATCAGACGCAATAAGAATAATCAATTATGTATAATTTGCTAAAATCGCAGCTTTTCCAAATTTTAAAGTACATTAGTTAATGTTCGTATTATTTATGGATTGATGAAAGGTACGATTGTCTTCCATGAAATAAATTTAAAATAGTTTTCATATAAATAAGTATTATTAAATGCTGTATTTATTAATTAAAAAAAAATTAAAATTAAATTTTCATGCTATAACACTGCAATTGAAAAATAAATTCTATACGAATAATGTACATATTTTGATTAAAATTTATTATAAAATATTAAAGTTAGGTCAAAATGAATTTAAGCAATTCTCTAAATTATTCAATATGTTGAATATCTTTAGACTTTTGAATGAAATCAAATGAATAAAGCGTCACGTCCACAACATACAGCACGTTTCCAAGAGTAACGTATCAAACGTGTTGTATTATTTGAAAGCAGACGAACCTTCAGCGTAAAAAATAATTTTTCGACAAAAAAAGTAAGTTGAGAAAAAAATTTAGATATAATAAATGCCTTCTAGAATGTACTTAATATAATGCAAGTTTTGCACATTCATTAATTTCCCTTGTTGAAGGATAAATCATTTTTAATTAGAGGCTTCTTTATGCTTAAATAATAATACATTTTCTAGGATATAGAGAATATCGAATTATAAGATATTGTTACTCCTCCTGATAACGAATATTTTCGAATACTATAATAAAGTAAGTGTTTACAACTATTGTAATCGTCATTGTTCAATCATTGGTAATATTATCTCTTGAATTTATGTTATATAGTCTTTATAAATATTGATTTATAATCATCATTAAATATTTCTTTCTAACTAATATGTTTATGATTATTATCTGGAAAACTACATAGGTTTAGCTTATCGTTAAAGATAGTTGCTAAACAATTTGTACTTTATTAACAATTACATACTATATATATATATATATATATTTAGTAGTGAAATTAATATACCGATAGAATAATTATTTTATGCAATATTTTAATATGAGCAGTGATCGTAGTTAAAATCGCAACGCGTTCTTCCATAGAATAAAAAATAGTGCATTTACTCATTCGTCATAAAACAAACGTTCATGAATCATAAACCACTGAACGCGCGCAAAGCTTTTAAAATCTCAAAATAAAAAAAAACTCGACTATCATGAACTTTAAAGCTTATAATGTATGCGACGAAAATACCAATTATTTATTTTAAAATACCGGTAGTATAAATAAATAGAAGAAGAGAGGTGAAAATTTACTGGCTGTAACTAAAATTCGCTCAGCAATGATAGAAAAACACTGCATGAGTTTAAGAGGAAAAAGGCAGTAGTAAAAATCTTTCGGCGAAAAATTCTCGCATCTCTACGCAAAAAAGAGGAGAATGAAAGGAATAGTGAGAGGACCATCCATTCTCCTTCGTTTCCGTCGCCGCAGAAGTGACATTGGTAAAAACAAGCGGAGTAAAACGAACGCTGTTGAAGAAAAACGAAGCGTCGGTGAAAAAAGACGAGTGCGCGCGAATTTTAGGGATGACGATGAAGGCGTCGCGGATCCGTAAATGTGAGGTCAGTCGAAGAGTTCGGTTATAAACTTTACCTAAGCGAGTTTCAACTTTTTTTCTTTTGTGGTCTCTAAACAATTTTTCCTCGTTTAACCCCCTTAGCGATCCAACTTTACTTTCTTTTCTCGTTTCTTTTTTTTATGGATACTGTGTTAATATAACTCAGTTGTTACGGGGGAGAATTCGCTCTGTTAGAGTTCTCCGTTTAGACGAAGAATAAGTCGGTCATACAAGATAAAGTGAATTCATAAAAAGTTATTTTGTGGTGAAAATGAATTCAATGTAAAAAAATTTCCTACCGATTATCGGGAGGCATTAAGAGCTCATGGAAACACATAAACTTATTCTATGTTTTAGTAAGAGATGTTATAGATTATAATATATAATTGATATACGATAAGAAATGTAATTTAAATATTATAATAAATAATAATTTCAATAATTTGTTATATTATTAATTATTTAAAAGTAAAATAATACCAAATATATCGTTTGTTGCATTAACTTTTTAAGGCAATTTACTACATTCGGGATTGTAAATATAATGAAAATTAAAATTTCAAATCATTCATAGTTAATATTTAAATGATAATCAAAAGAAAAATGATAAAACAATGTGAATTAAATATAATTCTTGAAAATACTATAGTTATTATATCTAAATAATATATCTAACAAATTTTTTATGAACAATTGAATATTTTTTCTTGTATATGATTTATGACACTATTTTTATTTTAGTTATTTATAATTATATATGCTCATGTGTAATATATATAATTTTATCATATTTTTTAATAGAATGATATATTTGTTAAGAGTAAAAATTATATATATTTTGGTGTTTTGTTTCAATACATGTCTGTCGATAATATACCTGCAACATAACATAAGTTGTGAAGTTTATCAATTTATAAATACACTCTTCTGTATTATTATTGATTGATCATACTAGATTATAGTAAGTAAGTATATATTGCATAGTATATTATACTTAAAGACAATATATAAAGTACCGTAATAAATCTAAATTAAAAACGGATATGCCATAACGATTTAAACAGAAAAAAAGAAAAGAAGACAAGTAATGAAGTACAGATTTTTATTATAGATAAAATTTTAATATCAAAATATTTATATTTTGTCCCGGGAAACTGCTATTGTATAAGAAATTTAAATAATTATTATTAGACTAAAGCTATTATAATATTACAATCTGTAATTTCAATGATACATTATTTTGATATGAAAACTATCTAATTGATTCTTAAAGTTAGTGTAGATTAAATATTTCTTACTCTATGACAGCTTCTGTACGAGTGTTAATAGTGTGAAAACAAAAGCTTTGTATCGTACATACAAAAGCTGATATTGTACTAGGATATTTCAAGAGACAGACGTCATTGAGAAAAATTAGATGATACAAATGTCTCGTAAAAGAAAAATCCAGACGCGATCTTCGAACATCAGGAAGATTCCCGGAAATTTCATGAAAATTTACTTTATACGAAAATCTCCCAAATCGCTTGAGCGCATCCTGTATACAAGGGTGAAATCATACTCACCCCGGCAAAAAGTGTGCGTCTGTGAGTCCTGCAAATGCGCCGACGCGGCGCCTCTCCCTTCGAAAAGCTCTCGTCCACCACTTCTACCACCACCACCACCACCACCACTAGTAGCAGCGGCAAGTCAAAAGCTACACAAGAGCAGTTGCAGTCGTGAGCGAGAGCAAAGGAGGGCGGCAGGGAGGGAGGGAGGCACAGAGAGGGAGAGAGAGAGAAAGGTAGAGAGAGGGCTAGAGAGAGAGAGAGAGAGAGAGAGAGAGAGAGAGTGATGGGGAGGGGTGGGGGAGAAAGAGAGTCGGTAAGGACAAAAATGAGATAACGATAAAAAGAGAGGGAGGCGTAAAAAGCGAGGAGGGGATCGGGCGAGGAAAGACCGTAGCTCGGGCTACGACAGCAGTCGTGTGAGGAGTGTAGTCCGGGTTAGGTAGGATGCGCGTGCCTGGGTGCGGTCTGCCCCGACGAGCAGCATCCCAAGAAGCCCAGCCGGCCAAGGGCTGGGCCCCGTCGACGCCGCGACTCTAAGACGGAACTTTTGTTGCAAGCGCACCATTCACTACTCATGTTCATCCCGGATACCCTGAGGAGCTGCATGGTGGAACCGGATGTCTCGACTTATTTGCAGGCCCCTTCCGTAGGACAGGTCAGTTTCTCATGGCTAACACGTGGGAGCTTCGCTGTTATCTTGGTGGTAGAGGTTTCTTAGTGTGGCTGCATTACCATCGCTTGCCTTGAAATATTAAGATATTTGCACGTGCACACGGCTCCGTGTCTTTTCCCATCGGTCTGCTAACCCAAAATCATGTTTTATCATTTAGGATTAATATGATGATTATTAATTCCGCTATTTCCATTAAGTATTATTAAATAGCAATAATCTCTAAAGAGAAATCTTACACTTAGAGGATGATAGACTTCAATGTATTTATCTACTTATTTATTTTAAAATTTTAATATGAGTATGAGAAAAGTAAGATATATTTTATCAATCCGATTAGATGAATATTATGTATATTAATCTTCTATGAAGTATCTTTTTTTGCTTTTTTTTTTTTTTTTTTTTTTTTTTTTTTTTTTTTAGTTAACTTTGCTATTTGAGACATCAGTGGATTGAATTAATTATTCGATCTTAAAAACGTACACTGTGCTTGTAATTTTTAAGGCTTCTACACCGCATAAGTTTTTTAACATTTTTTTTTGTTATTATTAAATCAATATTAGAAAATAAATCTTTTTAAATATGTATTTATGAATTATTCAATTACACATAAATTTACCTCATACGCGCTCATAGAAACTTATGTTAGGTTATTAATACCTATCTACGCTTTTATTCATACAATAATGGAAACAATAGTGTTATAAAATTGATTTTATTTTGATGGAAGATTAACACACACGCTTTGTTTAAAAAAATATCTAATATATGTAAAATAGAATTTAGATAAGTTTGATTATGTACTTTAAAAATACTTGCCTGTAATACTTTTTATTATCATACTCTAATCGGCATGGGCAAGCTTTTATTTCGTTAATACAACCTGAAAAGCATTGACATACCATTCGACATTATTGTAGCTTATAGGATCGTCGCCTATTACTTACTCTCCGTTTTCCGATTTCCCTCGAGGCATTAATTTTTCAGGTATGATAATGCACTTCTCATCGACATCCGCACAACACGAATGATCTAAAATCATTTGTTCAATTGAGTTCGAGCTCTTCCAATAAAGTCTGTCTAAGCCAATAAATAGATTTGATGAAAGGGGCGATAAAACACGAGGAAAAATATTGACATGCACGCGCGCTCGCGTGTCGCGCGCACTGCGCTTCGTCCCCACCATGGCGACCAAAGAGCGCGGCGCCGCGTGAGATGCTGCAGTGCGAGCACGTGCCCGTGCGGCTAATATCGACGTTACAACAACTATCTCTCTCTCTCTCTCTCTCTCTCTCTCTCTCTCTCTCTGTCCGACCCTCGCTCATTCGTGGCTGATAAACGCCTCAAACACCTTCTATTTTTCATGGAGCATCTATAGCAAGATGTCTGTTGGTAAAGTATCATTGGCAGCTTGGCTATTACTACTTGCGAACTGGTACAAAGATTGTAGTCCGCACACGAACTATTATACAAGATTTTACTTAGTGGCTAAGGTCATGGTCGGAATAATGGGAGAGTGGTGTCTTTCTTAATTATGAAAAAAATTGTAAATACCAATGCAAACGTAATTGTACAAATTATTTTTTTGGGTATTAAGTTAATTGAGAACTCAAGTTGTGGCATTTACACTTATCTAATTAATTATTGGAAAATATATCTTATCTATATTAACTGTTAATTCTGCTTTCAAATAGTAATGTAATCGAAATCACGCTCTACGTTCATATTAAGAAGTTAGGAAAACACATTTATTACAATTTAATTTATAGTTTTCATTTAGAGTGTTAATAATGTCATTATTACGTTATTAAATAACTTAATATATAAATTATTATGTAAGGAAAATCTGCTTCATATATTCATAATAAAAATATTATATTCGAATTTTTTAATAAGACTTTAAGATAAATTAAAAATTTAGATCGAATGATAAATAATTTTATATAATGTATTTTAATCTTTATTATTTTAATCAAGAAATTGACAAATGAATTATGCTTAAACGCATTCTTACTCCATGAAATGTTAGAATTTACTAATTTATAATTGGCAATAAGAAGGATATAAACTTACAAATAGCTAAGATTAAAACTTGGTTTTATAAAAATGGTTTCGATTAATCTGTAAAATTACTGTCAAGATGATATATAAAAAATCTTTTCCATTCATAGACGATTCGTCTTTGTATTATCGTATTTTATTTATAATAATAATAATAATAATAATAATAATGATAATAATAATAATAATAATAATAATAACAATAATAATAATAATAATATTTATTGTAGTTTTGATATTTCTTGATTTCTTTATTATTGATTAAATTTAATAAATTTTTCCATTTATGAAAATTTTTTGTATTTGCTCTCTATTGAAATAGTAGTCAATAGCAATTTTTCTTTCAAACGTTTATAGATTTATTCAATCACATAATTTATATAATTTATCCTATCCATATTTTCACATATTAATAATCTTAATGACGCAATTCCATATTATTCTTCTTAAAAAAGTTGTTTAAATTATAGTCCTTAGCGCGTGATATATATATATATATATATATATATATATATATATATATATATAGTTTCTTTTTTCTTTCAAATTTATTAATTTTTTTAGGATTATAACATTTCATTTAGATTGAATAATTTTTTTAATTTATTACTCAACATACATGAAATATTGTTTATAAGTATAGACATGATTCAGTAAATGTAAATATTAATAATGAAATTGCATTTGTCAATACTATGCTAAAAAGAATGAATTGAATTATAAATGAATAACAGCAGAGAATAATAATGGGTACCTTACTTTTCAAAATTGAGTTTAAAATTGACAACTGTGGTTAAATACAATTAGAAGTATTTAGATTCTGTGATGATCAGCTTAACAAAATATACAAGAGTCTAACAAGCAATTGTCCGAAAGTAAATATTAATAGTAAAGCTCGAAAGTGCCATTTACAATCGAGCCATCCCGCGCCGTAAAAGTTGCATCCAACTAGCCATGCACACTGAAATAAAACGACGGTGCGCAGTTGCTAACTTTTGCCTTTAGAGTTCAAACGGTTTTATCTTGCGACGCGATCCTCAGCGGGACACTTCATACGCCTCCGTACGCTCGTGTAAAAAGCAGCCATAAAGCAACAAAACGGGGTGCAATTTAAATAGACGTACCGATAAATTGCGCACAGATTTTTCTGCTCTTGCACTTCCTTTTCCCAATGAAGGCTCTGAAAATTAAGTGCAAAATTATGGGACGAGAGAAAGACAGGTGTGCATCACGCGAACCTGTCCGGTTCTACGTTTCGCTTCTCGAATTACCCGTCATTGGTAATTTTTCAATATTTCCTCAATTGAGGTCGTTGTTCATTAAAAAAACTTTCGAAACTCCCACGTGGTGATGTGTTATGCCCATCTCCGTTGTGAAGAGGGATGAGATTTTGCTTCTCTTATTCCGACATTGACGCATTCCCATCAAAGATTTCTCATTATATTTGATAGGATAAGTTTTTATAAAATTTGCATGAAAGAAGTTGGGATAGTAATTTATTAGGATTTATATCGTCTTTTTATCGGAATGATTTAGTTCATGAAATTTATTAATACAGAGTAATTGCCTTGTTATTGAGTTCGTATTTTTGATTAATTCTTGTGGCAATGTACTTTTTCGTAATGGTTATAGTATTTATAAGTGTTATCCTTATTATTTATGGCTATTTTTAAGGTAAGTACGGCTACATATTGGGTTATATGATTATACGATAAGTACAACTACGTCACATTGATTGGATTATACGATTATAATTTGATGAAGTAATTATGTAGAGTACCTAGAAATGTTTTACTGACTACGGTAATGTCTAGTTCTAAACCATTTTTTTTTTAATTAAATAATTTGAATAAAAGATTTTATAATATTCACAAAATTATTTCATAGATTCATATAGTTTCATATTTCATAAAGTATTATTGTTATGTCTCATTTGTACGTTCTTTTGTCATATTATGCAATTTTATTATATTTACTTGTTTATTTATTGTTTACTTAAAATTAATTTAACCTCATAAGGATTTAGTGCTAAGAGTAGCTTTTAACTGATTTAGAATAAGTATGTGTCAACTAAATAGTTGTCACAAGGAAGTGATAACTATCTGCAACTTATGTTGATATAGATAAGTTGAATTTCTGACAGAAACTTGTATGTGAATAAGTATCGATCAATGCATATATATAAATATATATATATATATATATATATATATTTATTAAGTAATAAAGATTTAAAAGAAATTAATTTGAAATTCATTGAATGATCTAAGCGATGTTATCCAATATTTTAAAAGAGTTTTTCGTCTTAATCATACATGTAAATGAATATGTAACTTTAAACTTTAGATATATGTATATTCTATTTTTATTTATACTACATTGTAAGAACTCTTAAAAATAGATGCTTGTCTTATTAATTATTTATATCGAACATATTACGCAGAAATTAATTATTTGTAATTGTAACATAATAAAACATATAAAATTGTATTCGATATACATAATAATATATAAAAGATGAAAGCTCGATAATTTAAGCATTAAAAAAGAATTGAAATGTTTTTAATTGTAGCCGAATAAATAACAAATTAATGTTTTAGCTTTTAATTGAATTTCTTTAATGCATAATACAAAGTATCTCTTAATTTCATTTCATTTTCACTTAAAAAATATTTAATGTTATTATGGATGTATGTAAGAATAATTAAATAGGTATAAAAGAAAAATATATATTATATGAAGTAATTATATAAAATAAATGCAATTCAGAAATTCAATCATGTTCTGAAAAAGCGATAAATCCCTCTATTTTTAAAGCATCTATCACGTCGAGGCAGAAAAGCCCGAAAAACTCCGCGGTTGACTGCAGAGTAACATGTATCAAACGTTAGTCAAACAGGCATAATATTCGTACAGCTTAGAAA